GAGAGAACAGAAGATACAGGTGCAGTGGTGAATGGCAAGCTGAAAGGCTTGGAAGTTTTCCACTTAATTCGTGGCATACGAATAATCCTAGCAATAGAAGTAGGAAACTGCAATGGCTCTTGGGTCAATCACTTTTTAGGGTCCCTCTTGATCTAGTTTATTTTACTTCTTATTCTGCTAGACAGTGTAGGATATCAAGAACTCAGATCCAGAGATGCCAGAACTTATGAAAGTGAAAAAGCTGTTAGCCACCTTGAACTTCCTTAAAGGAAGTAGATAAGGAAGCTGGTTCAGCTGGAGCGAGAGATGTGATATGTGTGGATGCTTAATGCCCAGAGTTGTACTGTTCATTTGAAGCTGCAGCCATCTTTTACATGAGAGATGAGTTGAGCCCTTGCTGTTAAAACACAAAACATGTTCAGTGTATAAATGTAATCTTCTCAAAGCAACAGAAAGAGCAGTGACTGTCAAAAAATGAAGAAAAATCTCTTCTTGCTCGTGTGGCAAATTAAGTTCCCGGCGCTGCTTTGCCTAATGAAGAGGTGAATCCCAGACTAGGTGCACTGGGTGCAAGGTGTAGAAAGACCATCTGTCTATGAGTAATGATTTTGTTTTTCAGAGAGTGAGAAAACATGTTTGTGATCCTTCTGCCCCTTCTTAAGGCACTTTTAAATTTTACAAGATAATTTTGAAAGTTGTGCTGAAAAAAAAAGAAACCTACATTTTGTTGCCACACAAAAGCTGTACTCAAAACTTAAGAGGCAGTAAATTTAGTTGAATTCCATTCTTTTTTTATTCAGAATGGATAGTTGATGAACATGACTGACTTGGATGATTTCTGTTTGTGTGCAAATGTGTTCTTATATAGAGAGAGACATGTAGATAGATAGATATGTAAACATATATGTATACATACTTATAAATATCATTTTAACAAACCAAAACTAACACTTCATGATGAATAAAAATTTGATTTTTATGTTGAAAAGTATGTTCAGTTGACAGTGAGTGAGGAGCATGTCATATACTGTAAATTCCTATATTAGCTTTTTTTTCATTTTTTTTTTTTTTTTTGTATGTTCTTTGTATTATGTATATATTTTTGTATGTCCTTTTGCAGGTTGCTTTGCATTGGTTCAGTCCTTTGCTTAAACAGCAAAAAAAAAAAAAAAAAAAAAGAAGGGTTTACATCACAAAGTTTCTCTTTCAATTTGTTTGAAGTTTTCAGAGTGAGAATAAAAGAAATTCTAATAGTAATTCAATCAGTGCTGGTGTTGTTGCCAGTTGGTACAGAGCCTAAACTGACTCCGGCTTTGCTAGAAGAACTGGCACAGAGCAAAGAAGCTGAATGATCTTCCCAAGTAATATGTTAGCAAGATAACAAAGTGTAATTTTTCAGAATCACACATCACTTGCCACAAAATAATAGAAACACCATAAGTGCTTCTAACTTTTTGCTTTCTAAGCTGACTAAAAAGGAGATATTCATAAAAATGAATCAGTATATCTCTCTTACATGAAAGAAAGCATGTATGAAAGTTTGTGAGATGTGGCCAAGTAGGCTTCGTATTCTTTTAAAAAGTAAATGCTAAGAATTGCTACAGTGGAGTTGGTACAAACTCTTTTGTATATTATGATTTTTCTAGGCTTTTCTGTAGACAAAAAGATTGTTCTGCTTATGTGGTCTGCACAGATAATTACTTATGTTTGAGATAAAGAGAAATATTTATTCGATAAAGAGAAATATTATTACACAAGAGGTAATAGCTAGAAGATATAAACATTATGTTCTTTAAAATTTCCCTTTTTTAATTGTAATTACTGCTAATTGATATTTTTCATTTCTAAACAGGAATGCACTTTTAATGCAACTATCCAGTGCCAAAAGCTACTTTGACTTAAGGTTTTACAAGCATTTAAAACTCAAACTGTGTATGCATAATAACTAGGATAAAAAAGTAAATTTAAACCAAGCCACATTTCAGTAAATTGATGAACAAATAATTGTCACTGTAGTTATAAGGGAAGATGAAGTAATATTTAGTCCTGTTAAAATTCCTTGCCTGCTCACCTTCAGATGGCTCTAATAAGAGACTTGCATCAAAGACTGTATGAGTGGCTTGGGCTTTCATGTTGCTCCAGGAGTTTTTAAAAGGAATCTGAATGATGTGGATTAAAAAGGTGCATAAATTCAGCCTTTCAGAACTTATTTTAACTGTCATCTTTTTTTTCCTGAAGGCATTGCATGTGTTAAAAGTGCCTACAGTTCTTGGTATTTGATAGGCTGGTAGCGGTGGGTAATGTGGAGTTTTAGCACTAACCCAGATTCAAGGACACAAAAAGAATACTAAAAATTGAAATGGCAGACAGTGTCAACTCAGAATTTCTTTGAGGACATCCAGAAAATATTGATAGAAACAGTAAATAATTTGTAAAGTAAGGAAGGAACAGCTGGCAGTGCAGTGGGTGTGTTTATAATCAGTAGTCCATACAGTTTCATACATATCAACACAAATACTTTGTCTCATAGATATAATTCGGCTGCACATATAATCTACACTGAAGAACGTATCTGAAGGACTATCTTAGTTATATAAAAGCTTAGGAATTTCATTTGAGCAACGAATGCTGACAGGTACTTCCAATATGGGGTAGAGTATGTATACCAGTTTGGTGGAGAGGATTACCATTGTTGACTAATTCCAAAGCCATGAAACTGGTAGCATAACCTGCTCCAGATAGTAGCAATTCCCATAAATATTCCCATAAGTGTTAAAAAATTGAACAGATTTTTCCTACAGCGTCCTAGAAAATTAAAATCAAATTCAAAAGTAAGTTTAAAATCAGTCTGATTTGAAAGTCAAGAAAAATGCTGGTGGCTTTTCAGGCCTTAAAACCAAATTAATCTTTCTGAATAATAGGACCAAAATTAGGTAGTGAGAAGGTAAAGGATACTGTGCTGATATTACAGTGTGTATATTGTGGATTTTGTTTTAATTTGTTTTAGATTGATATTATCAATTAAAGGGTTTTGTAATCTTGGGTAAACAGGAACTTTTATGAGGGGAGATGTTTTTGTCACATCGGAGCTTCATCTTTCTGCAACTGCTTTCTCTCGTGAGATATGCAAATTAGTGATATAAGATGTAATGCTGTTTATGGACAATACAAAATAGCTGAAGGTAGTCTGAAGTAATCTTCATTTTTTTCCTATTTGCTTTCAGTAAAATTGATGGAAGAATTAAAATTAATTGCAGCACATTAAAACAAAGATATGATCTGTGTACAATTTGTTTTGGTTTATTGCTGATTATGTATATCTTTTTAAATAAGATTACATAGGTATAGCATTTTGAAGAAATTATCAACATTAACCAACAATAACTATGTCAGCTCTCTTTATGGATAAAAGTTTAAGCCTGCTAACCAATATTTACAAAAAAGAAAATCCCACATGATAGGTAAAAGCACCAAATGTGATTATGAGATATCAGTGATGTCTCCTCTAATCATGTTTTGGTTCTTGCTCTTCCTGGTGTAATCTGCAGTGCTCAGTACAATATGAGTTAGGATATCAGTTGAAAATTTTATTTTGTAAGTAACTGCATTTTAAAATATTCTGCAGGATAAAAACGGATCAGCAAGTACCAGAACTTTTTGAATGTATGGGACAGAGCAGTACCTATGCAGAAACTGTTCAACCTTTTAGGTCTTCTTCCACTCTCCAATTTTAATATCTTCCCAATGGAGAGCAGTGATGTTATAAGTTGTTTTAGGAGCACTGTCTTCCTTTGTCTGATGCTATGTGGCATAACAGCTCTGCAGTGCTGTCGTCTCCATGAGCTGCATTTTAATCATTCAGTGTTGCCGTTTTTCATCTGAAAAAGTATAGTCATTTTTACTTCCAGTTCATAGTAGCTGACTGAAAACTTCAAATGGTGAGAGTGGAAAGGAAATCTCTTTAGACTGTGCAGCATCACACCTCTTCCACTGTGCTTGAGCTCTGCTTGAGGTGTCACTGTGGTGGAGGAGCAGTCCCACACACCACAGCCATGCAGGGAGCAAGTCCACCTTCTACCACGAGGAGCCAGGTGTTTGTGGGATGGGCTGATGTAGCTCGTCTCGTGGCCAAGGCCCAAGTCTGTCATTTGCACTGCTGCTGGTGCCACCGTGTTCATCTCTCTGTTGGTTGCACTTTGCAGCGGAAGAGTTTCCAGTGGCTTCCTTCTAGAAACAAGTTGTCCACACACAGTAGCTGAAAGGGTCAACCTTGCCAAGAGATGATGTCAAAAGAGATGAGTGCATCTGTTCTTGACCTCTAAATAGCTCTTACAAAATGCCAACATTAATTTAACTGATTTGCTGTAATTGCTGATGTATGTATTTGGAAGGTTTTTTTGGGACTCACGATTTTTTGGTCATCAGTTAGCTTTGCACATACATTCCTGTATTGTGTCTCTAATGCCTACAGTATTAAACCAGTTTTACAACTTTGTTTTTTCATCTTCTTCTTTTGTTAGTTGTAGCATTTTTGTAGGTTTGTTTTTGTTTGTTTTTTAAATCTTTATGTCTCATCTTCTACAAGATTCTTGGTTGTCTTGTAGATTATGTTTTCCATCATTGATATACTCCCAAGTTTTGAGACAGTAGCTTTTTCAGTAGCTTATGAGTTACTAGAAAGTATCCTATGGTTCTTATGGAAGAATGAAAAATCTTATTGCTTAGATGCTGTTAATTCAAACTTTATTGGAACGGAACTGTTGCAAATTTATGCAGCACTTCTTTAAATGTACTTGAAGTATTTGTTCAATGCAGAAAAATGTTTTTAAAAAATATTCACTCTTTTTAGTATGAAAAATATAGCAAACATTAGCTGGTTTAATTTTTCTTATAAAGTCATTTTGCATGCAGTCAAAACACTATCTCATAATTCCTTTATAGAGGATTGTGTTATGCTTGGGTCCACATGTAACACTGTTTCTTTTATTTTATTTTCAAAGGTATTTCTGAAGAGTGACCGGGTCGCAAGAATGGTTCACAGTGGAGGATGTTCTGCAAATGACTTTAGAGATGTTTTTAAGAAAAACATAGAAAAAAGGGTCCGAAGTCTGCCAGAAATAGATGGATTAAGCAAAGAGACGGTCTTAAGTTCCTGGCTAGCCAAATACGATGCCATATACAGGGGAGAAGAGGACTTTTGCAAACAGCCAAATAGAATGGCGCTAAGTGCTGTCTCAGAGCTGATTCTGAGCAAGGAACAGCTTTATGAAATGTTTCAACAGATTCTAGGGATCAAAAAATTGGAACACCAGTTGATTTATAATGCCTGCCAAGTAAGTATTGAAGCCATTCGGTTCGATTGTGTTCAAAATCTCTGCCCCAATCCCAGGTCATGGGCTTCCTTTGTCTATGCTGAAGCATTGACTGCTAGAGATTCCTTCAGTGCTAAGCTCATCTTCACACACTTGGAGGAGATGAGATCTCTCAGTAAGGAATCTTTGTATCATTTGGTCACTGGAGAGAACTTGGAAAAGGAGATGCTAAAATATTTGGTACTTATGCTTGAGGTATCTACTGAGACCTTTTACAGTGTCAAAGATGTAGTGATTTTGGTGATTCTGCAGTATGGCCCATGTACCCACATGTATGTTGTGTATGTGTACATATATTTATGTGTGTCCACCTTAAAAAGAAAAAAAAAAAAACCTATTTTAAAGACATTGGTGACAGGTGGTCAAATTCAAGATGCTCTTGACCAAGAATGATGTGAAGAGGAGTGCATTTATACTGATCTAGTGTCCAGAACTTCTGTAGGTTAGAACTCAATATCCTTCATTCTCAACACCATCTATGAAGCTTAATTTGCATAGTTTTGCTTTTTTGTTCTGTTGGATAAACTTGTTTCCCCTAAACTGCAGAGGAAAAAAAATGAAGCAATCATATTCAGATTAGCCTGTATAATCTGATAGTGATCAATAATTTAAATGACATATGAAAATATTTTATCTGGATGATTTTCAGAAGTGAAAATTGTCTTTTTCACTTTTTCACTATAGAGGGAGGGAATTATGAATACAGACAGGTCTTTTTCAAAAATCTTGCAACGGACCAAGTGGGTATAGAATTGAAACAGACCTCATCTAACTTTTGAGCCTATATGTGAAGTTGTACACCAGATTGCAGTTGAGCTATTTTTTCATATATCATATTGAGAGCTGGTTTATACGTATGAGCCAACTTAGCACAGGAAGACACAAGGAGTCTTGGGCACTGCTGACTGCCTCATTTATGGGGTAATTCGTCATAGAGAACTGTTCTATGAAACCTCCCTGGTGTTTGATGCTTCTCACAACCATAGATTTTACTTTAATGATACAAATACAGTAATACAGTATTTTGTTCTGCAACAAATTGTGAAGGCTTCTTGTTTTGATTGTGAACACTTTACTAACAGAATGCAAGTAGATTAAACAGAGATCTTTTTCTTTTCTGTTTGCCCCACCTTTTCTCCTTTGCCTGCAAATCCACATACATTTATATTACAGAGTTAGCTTTGGGGTATGTAGGATGCTAATAAGTTTGAGAAGGACTGAAATCTTGGAGAAGAATCATGCTTAACTGTTGAAATGTTTTCAAGCTTATACTCAACTTTCCTGCTGTGGGTCCTAACTTTCCAAATTTTTTCGTTTTCCAAGGCAGACACAACATTACTTTACTGAAGGAGTTTCATTCTCCATCAGTGCAGAGTTGCTGTTGTCACTGCACTTTATAGCCTGTTGTTGTCATCCAGTCAAGTATGCAATATGCTAAGGGTTGGAGAGGGCTATTCCACTGAAGAAAGACAACAGTCATCGCCTTCAACAAGTGCATTGCAGAAAACAACGAATATTTGATGATATAGTGCCTTTTTGATGGATAAACCCCTTATTTCTCGGTATAGTTTTAATAAATGTCTTGGTTTCAGTCTTTCAGTCTATTTTATTGTGAATGTCTACAGAGGATGATGATGAAAGTGAAAGATAAAAATGAAGTCAGACATGCATTTTAGCCAGTGCCATCAGTTTTCATGCTCCCCAAGAAGCATGTAACTGTATTTGTATGAAAATGCTTGCTTTCATTTCCCTTTGCCCACTGTTCTTAATACTACAGAGTTGGAGATAGTGATAATCAATAGTGTCTGGCAGCAGTAAGATAAGTGAAAGTCGGAACAGATGATAAAATTGTATTTTTGATAGTGGTTTTGATGATTTGGCTTCGCCTGTGTTCTGAGAATTGGACCTTTTTCATGGAAGTCTGGGTATTCTGCAGAAGCTGCCCTTGACAGCAAGTCTATACAGTTATAATTTGTTCAAAGAACTCTCTTCCTTTTTCTTTCCTCGTTTTTGCCCTTTCAGTTCTTTGGAAATACTCAACTTCAAAATGTCTTTCAGTGTCAATGATAAGGGTAAATTATTGTGCAGTTAGATGTCTGGAAAAGAGACATAGATGCTATTTGTAACAGTAGGTGGTTTTGTCTGCTGCCAATCTCCTCATGACTTTCTATGCACTTAGAAACTTTCTACTGGTCATCAGTGGCCAGTGCTAAATGGAGCGTTCTGGTAGCTGTTAAACTTTGGGTATCTTGCACCAGCACTTCACACGTTTCTGCTAGGCTGTCAGTTATGGCAGGTCTGTATTGTTTGTGTGATCTCAGAACAAACAATGCTTGTTCAATTACCACAAGAACTTAATCAGTGGTAAAGTATGTAATGGTAGATATTGTCAAATATAGTCTGTAGAGCTATGAGATTTGGGTTTTTTAAAAATTATTATTTCCATTTTTCTTTGATTTTGTGGCAACTTGTTAGCATATGGAATACCTACACTTTTTCTTTGGTAGAGATCATTAGCAGGACTAGTCATACTAGGACTTAGTAAGCTTCTTTCATGACCCAGTTTTCAGCTTCACAACTTAAGAAGGGCCATGACTTGTTACCAGCGAGCTTTATGTCTTTGTGGTTTAAAGATTCCATTTTGGAAGTGTGAATGCTTTCACCTGATATTTACCTGTATCGTGCTGCCTTGAGCTATGTTTTATGAGAGAGACATCATTGCCAGTTAGCTGGGACTTAATGATCTTGACTTGTTTTTGAGGTGCCTGGCCTCAGTTTTCTTATGATTTCTTTGATATCTTGATTTATAGAGATCAAACATGATATAGAGTCTTTTTCTTTTTTCTTTTTTTTTGTAACTTTTTTCTGATAACCTTATTTGATGAAGAAAGTCAAACTGAAAGTCAAACTCAAACTGATGTGTGGTCATAGACTATTATTACACAATTCCACCAAGTCTAGAATTTCAGTAAATCATAATTCCACTCAGTACTCAGAGTTTGCTTTATTTTGAAGATACTCATATAAGATTGACTTCTTCTGGCTGATCTAAGCTTACTGTCTTTTGAGGGGGAGGGAACAATACTGGTTTTCAGGATGAAAGAACTCTTGTAAGTCACTTGCTGTTTTCTGAAAGATAATGAATAATTTTGAGAATAAAGTAATTGTTTTTGAGAAGAATCATCAGTTAAAACTTCTGCTGTTGACTTATGGGGAATCAACTATACTTCTTCTGTAAAGAGCCCTAGATGATCCTTTATTTTAAGTCATAAATTCTCTATTTAAATGCCTCTGATTCACATCCTTGATTACCTTTAGCTTTTTCAAAATACATCTCATTGTATAAGCATCCTGATACGGAGAATGATTAGCCTTCATGACTTTTGAACAGAGTTTATAGCTCTGTTCCTTGGCCAAGATCCTAAAACCCTGTTCAGTTATGTTATGGACTGCAGATTATCAAAAAGGCAATAATTTGGGTGGACTGTGGAGGCTATGGGATTATGAGTAGGAAAATATGAAATAAATCTAGAGATAATCAACAGTTGCTGCATTTTTACATGATAAATATGAGAAAACTACACTTTTGCACACAGTCATGATGTAATAATGATATACATCCTTTCAGAGCAGCCCAGTGTTTTAAAACTAAGTCTGTCAGCCTGAAAAAAGTTTCCTGCCTTTAATATCAGAAATGTTCACGTTATGGGCTTTTCGTATCTCGTTTTTACTAGACAGTAGTATTTGTAAATACATGAATATATCTTCTCCCATACCTTGGAAAAGAAAATCTACTTTTTGATTTTTTTTTTCTTCTTCAAGGGAGAAATACATCTGCCACTGTTTGTTTCTGAGGGAAAGGAAAACACTTCCAATCAGATTTCAAGGGAGAAATAAATTGACATTTTTTCAACAGATTTTAAAAGCTGTCTTTTCTTCAAGTCTCTTAATTACATACATGTAGAAGTTCAATATGAAGTTATTTCAACAGTTATCTTCCAAATATTTTTCATGAGCTTTTCTGTTTTTCTCTTGGCATGAGAGAGATCTGGAGAGTTCTTTGCTGAAAACAGAAAAATCTGGGTGCTTTGAAGAATGCTGCAACTTTAAACATTCCCCATGTAATATATTCTGGAATGGAGCTATGAAAAATCCAGAACTAAGCTGAACCTTGTACTTCTGTCTCATTTAGATTTTCAGCTTATAATGTTACTTCTAGAGAGAAGAAAAAGTTTTGGAAGCCCTAAATGATCCATACCAAAACATACTGGTGATATTTAAAAAAAAAAAAAAAAAAAAAAAAAACCCCTCCTGTGTTAAGAACGTTTTTCATAATAGCAGAGTTTTCTTGGGTAACATGGGGAAAACTGCCTGACTGCCCCAAAGGATGTTGATGTTGATTTTAGTGGTAGAAAAATGATTGGAAGAATGTCAAAGCATCCTCAGAGAAGATACTTATTTTATAATGTTTAAATATCTGACTCTGAACAAAATTTTAAAGCCTTGCAAGCTACATGATGGAAAAGTACTTTGAAATACTTTTTCTTTATAGATGAAGGAATACTGAGAAAATGCTAGAGAGAAATGGTGTGTTGGCAACAATAATGCATTTTCAGTACTTGAGATATTGCAGTATCCTTGTTATTTTCAGCATTTGGGTAAGTAAAATTAGCTTTGACATCTACATTTAAAAGGAGGATTTTGAGTAGAGCATCTTAAAACAGGGAAAATGTTCACAAAGATTTGCTTGTGCAGTGTAAGCAATTAATCAAGAGAAAAAGTAAGTTTCTCACTTGTAATTACTTTTGAGACAAAGTTGAGGTTGGGAATTTTCTATTTGATAGTTCTGTTTTTGCTTAGGTGGATTTTGTTCCTTTTGTGTCTGGGTATGAGATAGGCACATATTGCTTCTCATAGCCTAGAAGATTAGTGGCTCTCATGGAGTTTGGTGTTTACTTGTG